CCGAAATGGCCGGCGAGTCGTGAATCATGGTACTCGCCGAGAAGGCGAGTCCGAAGACGACGGTCGCGTGGGACACATAGTAAGTCCTTGCCTCTCGAGTGGAGGAGCAAGTACCCGTCGGCAATGCGGTAATGGCTGGCCGGCGGGTGATCCGAAGATAGYTGTGCATAGAGCGTGCCGAAGTCCGGATCAGACTGATATGCCCGAATGAAGTGTCGCTGAAGCTCCTCGTCGAATGCGAAGGCATGATGTGTCATAGCGCAAAGATCGGGTCTTCGCCAAACTGGTCGATGAAGTACATCTATCGTCCGATCGTGCTGCTCATCGTATCCTGCGTCTTGTAGTAGGTCAATGGATTGTTGTCCGTAACCCATGTGAACCTACGACGCCCAAGGAGAAAGTGCCGCCATCGCTTGAGAGCCATGTCGAATGCGAGCAGCTCCTTCTTCCTTGCATCATCAAGCGAGTTGATGGGAGGCACTTTGTGGCTGAAATACTCCACAGGGTGCCAGTCGACGCCGTCGTGTTGTTCCAAGACTGCCCCAATGCCATAGTCGGAAGCGTCCGTAGTCACTCTCGTCGGCAGTGTGGGGTCATAGATGCTACGGACGGGTGCCATAAGCATAGCCGTCTTAAGTGTTTGGAATGACCGGCGTGCGTCGTCATCGAATACGAATGGCACCTTTGGCGACTGTAACCTCGTCATAGGTGCAGCAATCCTGGAATATCCGGTGATGAATCGCTGATAGTAGCCTGCCAATCCCATGAATGAACGAACGTCTGTGGTGTTGGTGGGCTCGGGCCATACTCGTAGGGCCTCGATCTTGTCCGCAAGCGGACGGATGCCTTGTGGCGTCACATAGTGTCCCAAGTACTCCAGCTCCTGCCGTGCGAATTCGCACTTGTCGCGGTTGGCTTTGTACTTGGCCTGTCGTAGCCGCTCCAAAACGGTGCGCAGGTATTCCACATGCTCCTCCAAACTTCGGCTGTACACCAGGATGTCGTCGAGGTAGATAAGTACGTATCGATCCAGCATGTGTCAGAACTCCGTTGTCATATCCGCTTGGAAAGTGGCCTGGGCATTCGTAAGGCCAAATGGCATAACCAGTCATTCGAAATGCCCATATCGCGTTTTAGACGTGGTCTTGTAGCGATCCTCCTTGCGAATCTCGAGCTGGTGATATCCCGACTTGAGATCGAGCTTGGAGAAGAACTTGGCGCCGCCCAGTCGCTCGAGAAGATCGTCGATGCGTGGGAGAGGGCCGGCGTTTCTGATCGTCTGCTCGTTGAGCTTGCAATAATCGATGCACAACCGCAAATCCTTGTTCTTCTTCCGGACGAAGAGAACAGGAGCACCGTATGGCGATGAGCTAGGTCGAATCCAGCCTTTCTCCAGAAGGTCGTCGAGTTGTGCCCGAAGCACACTTAACTCTTCCTCGCTCATTCGGTAGATGCAACCGCGTGGAGGTACGGCCCCGTCCTCGAGGATGATCTCGTGGCAGATGGGCCGATCCGGTACTACTCCGTGCGGGCCTTCAAACACGTAGTTGTAGGCGTCGAGAAGTCTGGTGATGCGTGGATCCGAAGATGAGTCCGTCGATGACGCGTCTTGGGGCGGGAGGGCGTGGAGAAAACACACCCCCATCTCCTCGATGTAATCTCTGATGATGGAAGCTCGCATGCTTGCGGCGGATACCACGTGACAACTGACTGAAGGGTGAGGAGGAGCTACCGTGCATGGGACTAGTACTCCGTTCCGATCACGAATGTGAACGGTGCGGCGGTAGAAGTTCACCGGGTGGTCCTCGCTTCGCAGCCATGACATGCCCAAGATCATGTCGAATTTGGTGTCCAGAATGTCAAAGGACACCGCCTCACTTGCGTGAGGGGCAAAGTACATTGGGACGTTGTCAATGCACCGGTCGATTGACTTGTGCGTGTGACCGTCTGCCAATGTGACTTGCGTGGGTTGGGACTTCCTTCGGACTCGTGGGCCAAGGCCGGCGCGTACCATGAAGTCCTGACTCATGTAGTTGCGAGATGCTCCGCAATCAATCAAAGCGATGCAGGTTGCCTCTCCGGTCTCAATGCGTACATATAGCAATGGTGCGTCAATGTCGTCGTACCGTTGCGTCTTGAACTCGCGGTCGATCTTCGCAATGTAGGCGTGAAGGTCGACAACCTCTACTCCGGCGTCCATCAACGGAGTCGGTTCTGCAATGTGCAAGTAATCTCACAATTGTGCCTTGAGCACGTTGCAATGCGGTTTCGACAATCGACCGGACCGGGGCAGGGGCATCCATTGGAAGTCCTCAAAAGTCAACGGGTCGAGTTCTTCAAGACTTGACCATGACGTTGAATCCCCGGTGGTAGATGACGGCGAAGCTGCCGAATCGGTTGCCGATGGTGATGAAACCGTGCATGCGGTAGATTGTTCCACGTGGAGCGGTTGGTCCAGCGGTGGAACCAAGTGGACAGCATAATCCTCGTAAGTATACCGAGGACTCGCGATATTCGCATCCTCCCCAGATGTGTAGGAGGCCGCTAGCAAGGCGGCCCAATCTGGCGGAGTGGGGGCTGGAGTCGCCTCACCTCCCGCGAAACTCATTTTCCCGAGTTGAGTCGAGGCCGCACATCCTCCTTGGCCTGATCCTGGCAAAGAGAGGTCTTGTGCTTAGTGTTGTTGCACCAGTAGCAGCAGCCGTAACGGCCGCGGTACTTGTACTCGGGCTCGGTCAAGCCGAACTTGACCCATGGTGGTGCTGGCTGTCCATTTCCGGCCTGCGATGCTGGTTTCGCCTTCCCATTGTTCTGGGACTTCTTGTTGCTTCGCGGCTGGACAACAGCCACCTGATCTCCCTCACATGATGCTGGAGTGGCTGTTGGGTCTTCTCCACTGTCCGATTGGACTGCAGCGAACTGCTGCTGTCACGGACCAGTTCTTGCCTTCTCCACATAGGTTGGCTGCCACGTGGACTTCTCGTTTGCAGCTGACCTGTTGGTCTTGATGATCTCCCTTGCCTTATCAATGATCTCAGCGAAGGTGGTGTATTGCTCACGATCACCAAGTGCCTGGCTCAGCGCAACGCATGACCTGTTATAGAACTCACGGCGTAGATGCGTGAATGGTAAGTCCAGATCGGGCACTGCCGCGATCTTCTACCATTCCGTGAGCCAGTCTCGTGTTGCGGTGTTGCCCTGTGACATGGTGAAAAGACGATTGATGGCAAGTGTCGACGTGTCGTCGACGGTGAACCGTTTCTTCCACAGTCGTGTTAGTTCCTCCCATGTGATCTTGTCCTTCAAGTCTGGTACATCGACGCCGTGAGAGGTTGCCAGGTGGGTCAACCAGGTCTGGCATCCGCCCTTTGAGTTCATGAACAGGGCGTCGATGTACGCATGCTTAGCGACAGGCAGAATCCGAAGTTGCGTCGTGAATTCTTCCCACCAGAGGACCGGATCCTGCTGCGTGTAGTCGTCGAACTTGTCCAGTTGGAAAGTTGGCATCTTGTACAACTTAGGATTGCCATCCGTGTTCGTCGACTGCAGCTGCTAGACCTCGGTCTTCAAGGTGTGCAGCTGACTGCTGATGGTGGTCGGCGCAGCGAAGGTGTTGATGTCGTCGAGCATTGCCACTACGTGGTCAACGCGTTCCTCGAGTTGGCGGCTAGAGGGTGCAGTGCTGGAAGCCCCAGCAGCTGGTCCTGGTACAGCCTGTTCCAGGTCCAGTACACGGGAATTGAGTGCCCGTGTTGCATCCTCGTGGCTCTGCACCATCCGGCGGAGGTTCGCCAACTCTTGGTGTTGTGTCTTCAGATCCTGGTACTGTTGCTGCAGTTCCTGGTTCTGTTTCTCTAACTCGTACCGTTGGTAGTTGCAAGCATGCATCAACCGTGTCACGAGTTTGGAGAGGAACTCCTTATGCTGCTCTTCCGGTGTTGCCTCGTCGCCGTTCAGTTCAAAATGCCANTTGCAAGCATGCATCAACCGTGTCACGAGTTTGGAGAGGAACTCCTTATGCTGCTCTTCCGGTGTTGCCTCGTCGCCGTTCAGTTCAAAATGCCAAAACTTGAGTCTCTCGATGCTGTTGGCTTCATGCCGCTGCAGCAGATCCTGGGCTTCCTTGCGGCGAGCCTGGGCATCTGCGTCTGCTTCGGCCTGTAGCCGCAGCTTCTCTGCTGTTGTCGCTTCTTCAGCCTGTAGCTGGGCAGCCTTGGCTGCCAGGTGGCGTTGTTCCTCAACCTCGATTAACGCGAGCTGAGCCTGGAAGCGCTTTCTGTAGTCGGCAATAGGCTCATTGGCCAGTTGGCCTGGCAGGCCCGTCATGTTGCTGACATGGCACTGTGTCTGACGTGGCACTGCTGACGTGTCACTGTAGATGACGTGTCACTGTGTCTGACATGGCACTGCTGACGTGTCACTGTGTCTCATGTGGCACTGCTGACGTGTCACTGTAGTTGACGTGTCACTATGTCTGACGTGTCACTGCTGACGTGTCATTGTAGCTGACATGTCACTGTAGCTGACGTGTCACTGTGTCTGACGTGGCACTGCTGATGTGTCACTGTACCACCCCGGAAATGCATGCAAAGGGTGGGTCGGAGGGAAAAACGCAGGTAGGAAACCAACCCAACAATACTTTCCCCCGGCCCTAATCAACAGATAAAATAAAATAAAAAAATAAAATAGGACTATTTCCCTTTTTTTTTTTTTTTTGTATATCTGTCGATCTATTATGAGTAGGACRTGTCAGAAGAGTACTATGAACGAGATCTAGGCTAGGTTCCGCAAGGTTTCGGCTTTTACAAACTGCGATCTTGAAAAAAAAAAATTGCGAAATGGAGTAAAGATGCGATTTTCAGAAAAGAACGAAATCCAGTTTCTGAGAATATGGCAACCTCCGAATATGCCTAACGCAATATTGGTAGGCTTCGAAAGATTTCGGTTTTCAAAAAAATTTTGCGAGATAGAATGGAAATTCGATTTTCAGAAAAGACTAATTCCAGTTTCCGAGAATATGACCACTTCTATCGTTATCCCAATATGCCTAGAGAACGAAATACTAACTTCAGAAATTTCAGCTATGTATGCGGAATATCAGAGAAACGAAACGCTACTATCGGGCATTTTCAGACAAAACGAAATGCGATTTATCAGAAATTTTCAGATATTTGTTACGTAAAAACGAACTACTAATATCAGAAATTTTCAGGTAAAACGAAATGCGAATATCAGAAATTTTCAGATAGTTGTTGCGAGAAAAATTTTCAGAGATTTGACGAAGTCCTACTTGATTTACTAACGAGTAGTCAATAGATCAAGCAAGCTGGCTATTTGATTGAGCGGGTCCTCTGAATGAGAGGTCCGCTCCGATACCAAACTGTTGCATACTGTAACGTTGCAGACCAGAACAAGAACCGACCTCTCAATACAAAGTATAAGATAGCACAGCGGAAGACTTAGATACCAATGATCCGACAATCAATATTGCAATGCAGCTCTGAACATACATCATCATCATCGTTACACAGTGTGAATGGGGTCTGGTGCTTCACACAGAAAGACTGCGCCAGCCCCTATCATACACAGACGAAGAAGAAGGGGGTTAGACGAAGAGGAGGGGAAGATGGGTATGTCGTCAACACCAAGTCTTCGCACAGACCCAAATAGTCCCTCGTCAAAATGTTTGAATCCCAAATGTCAAGTCTGGAACCAATGTCGTCAAGTCTCAAGTCACAACTCCGTCTCTCTCTGTCGTAGTCTGAGAAGTCAGGTAGCGAGAGGGTGAGAAGAGATGGTGGACTTAGAAGAGGAAGAAGAAGAACTCTCTTTCTCTCTGTGTCCAGTACTAACCTGTGAAGTTGGCGCCTTGATGCAGGTACTTCGAAGATGGAGCTGGAGCTATGGCGCCACAGGTAAGTACCGCTGGCCTCCGCCAGCCATCTCTTCCAACTCTACGATCTACCACCTATAGCGCCCAGCGCTGAAGACTACAGCTATGGCTATGGGCGCCCAGCGCCGAAGACTACTACTAGCGCTAATACTACTGCCTAGCGCTGAAGACTACTGCAGCACTCCTCCTGAGTGCTGCGGCCGAATCCTGAAGACTACTCGTCCTACTGACAACTACCTACCCGTGAAGTGCATGGGAACTTCCTATGTACTACCGGGTGTGCCTCCTGACTCGTGCGAGCAGTCCAGGAGGCTGCTCTTGCCAATGCCGAAGGAAGGCAGGGGCTGCAGCTGCAGCTCCTGCTCAAGCTCGTGAGGAACAGGCTATTTCTGGCCTGTTCCGAAACCCTGTATTCGTGCCTGAGTCTTAGGGGTGGTCGAAACAATGAGGGCCTGAAAAAGGCCCTCCGTTTCAGGCTGGAAAAACTCTGGGCCTGAAAGGCCCAGAAATAGGCTGAAACGGAATAGGGCCTGCAGGCCCTCGTATTTCAGCTTCCAGGCTGAAACGACCGGGGCCTGTAAGCCCTAACTTTTAGGCTTTTAGGCTGAAAGTCCGGGATGGGCCCTGCTGTGGCTACGCAGTATGCCACAATAACCCAGCCCACATGGCTGCATGGTATACACATGTCAGGGTTTGTAAACATATGATGAGTCTGATTCCTGACCAGAACCAGATGACAACAATAATGTTATGGGCCACTGGTGTGACCCCCTTAAACCACCAGTACATGGGCACCTGGGCCGTGGGTCTGACACCTCAAATTCTGGAGGCGCAAAACAAAAACGGGGCCGTCGATCGAATTTATCAATGGCGGGCCCAGCATTTGACGTTTTGGCCTCGTTTTCTTGTGGCGACAAGTTTCGGACTGCAACGCTGGGGCCGTGTACTTGTGGTTTAAGAAAGGTGGGGCACAGCAAACTCTTGGGCTGACCGGTCTTCACGTTGCTGCTGATAAAATGCCAAGGAGAATTTTGGGCTACCCATAGATCTTAATATCAACTTATATGGTACAAATGTCCTGAGTCTACATTGATGATCTCTTTGACAAAGGAGCAGGAGTAGAAGATAGAGAAGTAGCATCAAAGATGGAGGAAATCAATGATCCTCACAAAAGAAGGGACGAAAACGGGAAAGGTGTTTGGAACTTTGGCCAAGTTAAAAGAAAAAGGGATAATTTGCAAAATACCCCCGTAAGTTGAGATATATGCCAAAATGCCCCTGAAAGATGTGGGTAGAGAGGAATGCCCTTTTGGGCCAAAATCTTTGTGTTGTGCCCCTGTCAGGCGGGTGTGCAACTTTGCAATCTGGACCTCCCAGTTTGGGCCTTGGCCTTTGGCAATAGCGCCTAGGAAAAGTTGGCAAGTACTGGAACATTTTGCAAAGTTGGACGGTACCCGGTAGGGGTATACTGCAAAGATGGGGGTCCAACGGATGCTATGGGTATTTCACAAACTATTTTTTTTGTCGGAGGGGCATTCCGCTCTGCCCACACCTTTTAGGGGCATTTTGGCATATATCTCAAATTTGGGGGGTATTTTGCAAATTATTCCCCCCCCCCCCCCCCCCCCCCCCCCCCAAAAAAAAAAAAGACGAGCACAGTTGACAGTTACATCCTCGAATTAATCCTAAATTCGCCCTTCAGACATGACAGCCAAACCCCCACCATGCTCTTAACTCATGGAAGACTGGATGAAGCGAAATTTGGACAGATAGAATTGGGAAAATCAGTCCCAAAACCTTCCCACGAAAGACAGTCTTCCCAGAAAAATGATCTTCCAGACTAGAACGACAGGAGGTCGAGTACAAGGGCCTCAGCAACCTTGTTCGTAATGAGACTACAATAACAACAAAAGAAAATAGATCGGATTTCTGAATATATATTATATTTCCTTCGTATTGTCTTTGTTTTGTGCATATCTTTCAAGTTTTGTACTTTTGTTAAAACCTAAAAGTCAAAACTATAGTCTTTTTAAAGGTTTGACAAGGTTATAACTGAGACCTGCACAAGCAGAGATTGTAATGCAAATGTAGTCAAGGACCTTCCTGCCAAAGCAATACAGACCCATGCTAGCTGATTCCTAACCAACACACCACATGCATAGCAGACGTACAGCATGTTCCTCAGTCAGTGATGATAATTTACTTTCCCTTTATCATTCTTTGTTTGTCTTCTCTCCATCTCTCTTCCCTGTGTTTGTCCCCTCCCCTTTCACTCTGCCTCTTCCTCACAGCGTAAAAGTGGGCCGTTATGGCACACGGGGATGGGGGCAGCTCGCTCTTAACTTCATCAATGTGGCGACCCTTGTACATGAGAGACACAGTCTAGGGGAGTTAAAAGAAGAATGAGAAATTGAATGGTTTCAATGTGACCTTATTTTCTTGTTCTTTATCCTTTCTTTCGCAAAGTGCGCTCTTTTAGTTCATAGTTATGTAACAATATATTTGTGCAAGTGTGCAACTTCGGTGGCAGACGGGTGTGTGGGCACTTTCCGCTCAACCTCAAACGTGGGGAACCTTGCACCTTTTATTATATTGCTCATCAACACGTTTTTTGTGATGGTATGTGGATGGAATGAGAGAGAGAGTTTGGGGATGTTCACACGCACACACACACACACACACACACACACACACACACACACAGCATAGCTAGACATCACGGTGCACAGCATAGCTGGGCGCTTATGCACACTCCCACCTATGCTCTGCGGATTCTGTGCGGCTTTCTTCCCCTGAAGGCTGCACACCTGCGCCCTCGCCATAAGGCAGTGGGAAATGGGAAATGGGAAGTGGCAGACTACCGGGAGGTGCTAACGACAAACAGTGCCACACAATGGGAATGAAACCGGTATCAGGCACCGTTTCAGTTTCAGGAAAAGTTCTTTCTCAGGCCCTAACCCCACTGCCTGGCGGTAGCTTGGCACCTGGAAAAAGCATCTACCAACCAACATGGACGGACAAGAGAAAAGGGATCCCACGGTGACAGCAATTTTTGGCACCTCCGTAGCTTTATGTTACCCGATCAGGAAGACTTGCCCAATACCTCTGCTGCTCCAGAATTCTATCCAAACCCAGTGCCTCCATTCCTGATCGGGTAACATGAAGCTACCAAAAGGGTAGCCTGGGCTACTGTCTCACATCAGACATCCCCTGCGGAAAGGAGGCACTGGAATTGGATGGAGGCTGGAAAGCCGGAGGTCGGCAGAGTAGACATAAAAATCCTTGCTTTTGCCACACAATTCTTCCAAAGGCTTCGTTCGATTGCACTGGGGTCCAGGCCTTAATGGAAGGTCCAGGCCTTAATGGAAGGCGTATTTTAGGCCGGTCAGATGCTTCCAGATTCCCAGATTACCCAACCTGACCAGATGCTTCCAAACTCCCAAATTACCGAACCTGACCACATTTGTGCAGATGCTTCCAGATTCCCAGATTACCGAACCTGATCAATATATGCATCGTCCCTGTGGGACGTCACCAACGGCTGTGGAGCTTCACACTCATGGTTAGCTTTCCCACCCGCCTGCTACCGGGCCCCGGCGTACGAGAACCATCGGCCTGGTGAAGGGCGGAAGCGATAACAGCTACCACACATGCGAGAAAAAGAGAAACCAAGGGAACAAAGATCCACCCGAACCAGATTAGGACAAGCCAAAGAAGACAATAGCAGAGAAGGCTCCAAACCTTTTCTACTGATTCGTGGACGTAAAACACGGACTGGCCGCAATCGCGGTCCTATACACCCATGCGAGTCCTACGTAGTTTGAATACGCTGGTCAGCTCCGGAATCGGATGGCGACCCAGCCCATGAGGTCCTGCATGGTCCACGCGCGTGAAACTGTTGATGACTGCTGATGACCAGACCTGAGTTCGCCGAATAACTCTGAATTAACTTGTTCCAGTCAACTCGATGCTGAGAAAAGAACGTAATCCGCGGGCAGTTTTTTTTCCACTACAAGCGGCGGTGTAGGCCCTATCACGGACCTTTTTTTTTTTTTTTTTAGGGCCGCGCCGCACTCTGCCGCAGTGCAGTACAGAGGCAACGCTGGAGGGGTCGAGCAACGTTGCGGTCCGATGGACCACGGACCATTTTTTCACTGCGAGCGCTGCGGCTTCTTTTCGGACTGTCGCGGGAATCGAGCTCGTTAGCCGTTTCGTTGTGTGTTACCATTCGGCCAAAAGGTCGGCTGGGAATTTTCCACGCGAGATCGGTCACTTAGCTCGGTTGGCATGTGACGTACCCGACTGCCCCGTAAAGTCCCGCTTGGCATGTGAAGTCAGTCCCACGGTGTTCAAATATCTGTCTGCATTTCACCAGCGCGATCAAGCAAGTGTGCAATCGCCTGTCCACGTAGGAGGAACTCTTGCATTGCAGTGGCAATCAGTCCGCGGATCGAATCCGGCGCTTCGCGACGTACAGCGTCATCTTGTGGCGTTCGCTTGTCTTGCCTCCGCATGGCCGCCAGCGGCGTGACGATGTCAAGTCTCGCCATACCCGCAGCTCGCCAGACGTGTTGTTGGCACTCCCTGAACGATGACTCATCATCATCATCAGCAGCAGCAGCAGGAGGAGGAGGAGGAGGAGGAGGCACGTGCAGACTCAGCCAGCGCAGTCACAACTGGTTGCGTCAACACTGTAGTTCGCTCGCGGGCGATGGAAAGAAGGCCGTAACTCTGCCACGTCAGCCAATCTGCGCACTGACGTGTCACTCAGCGGCGAGAAGTAGCGGGTGCGCGGAGGACGAGGAGGAAGAGCGGGGGCTGAGGACTGCCATCTCTCACGCTCTTCCGCGCGCTCGCGCCCCTTCAACGAGAGTGCGTCTGCTACGAACGCGAACGCCAACTCGTGCAACTACGGCAGAATCTCCCAATGAAGGAGACACGTGGACAGGGGAAGAGAACGACACGTCATCCCGGACAGAAACCCCTGCGGTAGATCTACAAGCGCTTAAGGCCAAAGTCCTGACCACCATCGCCGGATTAGACAGAGGAACTGCCGCGAGTGAGGAGGACTGTAAAAGAGTGGAGGAGGCAGTGAAGGAGTTGGAGGCGGCGGGAGGGGGCAGGATCAACCTGCTCTCAGGAATAGCGCGGCTTGATGGAAGATGGCGACTGGTATTTTCCAGCGGGTTCGCTTCTGGAAGTTTCGGTGGCCGCCGCCCTGGACCGGGTATCGGACGGGCACCTTTGACTCTGGGGCAGGTTTATCAAGATATAGACGTCGAGGAGAGGAAACTGGACAACGTGGTGGAGCTTCGGCTTGGAGCGCCATGGCCGGTTCCACGTCTAGAATTGACAGCCATTTTGGGTCACTCGCTCGAAACGACGGACGAGGGGAACGCCCGCATAAGGTCGACGACGATAAAGTTGAAGCCTGAGGGAGCACTTCAGCTAATTCCCGACTTAGAGCTACCTTCCATCTCCTCCTTTTTCCGAGCCCAAAATCTGTTCCAGAGCGAATCGGATAAAGACAAGTCGCCATCACGATACGGAACGTTCTCCGTCACGTATCTTGATCCTGAGTTTCGTATTAGCCGAGGCGATCGGAGTGAGCTTCGCATCTTTCTGAAGGTGTAAACGTGTCGAAGCGCTGCGGCGTCTTTTCTGATCTGAAACGAGGAACAACTGTGTGTGTGTGTGTGGAGATGTGTGTGTGCGCGAGCGCGCCCGTGATTGTGTGCGTGTGTCTGAGTGAAAGAGATAGGGCGAGAGATCAGGACATTACGTTATGGATCGAACTGAAAGAGTGAGCCTTGGGGCACATATGTGTGTCTGTGTGTATGAGAGAGAGAGAGAGAGAGAGAGAGAGAGAGAGAGAGAGAGAGAGAGAGAGAGAGAGAGGGATTTGTCGAAGCCTTTTCCCTCCAAGTGCCTGGACGTTGGCTGGTCTAAGCTGGAAGATCACTTGTCACTTCGAAATGGCACATAGAAAACTACAGATCTGGATATGTAGGCAGATAGGAAGAAAGTTTTTTCCTAACGGTTGAGTTTTCCAACAAGCAGGAATAGCCATTTCTAGCGAGCGAGCAAACGAGAGAGAGAGAGAGAGAGAGAGAGAGAGAGAGAGAGAGAGAGAGAGAGAGAGAGAGAGAGAGAGAGAGAGAGAGAGAGAGAGAGCCGTCCACATTTTGGGGGCAGAGGGGGGAAGGCCCCGTTCTCATTCGGGGGCAAGGGGGTTTGTTTCTGGGGGTTTAAAAATTGTACTTTCTGGGGGTTGTAAAATCATCATCCTTTACGGGCGGCATAGAGGAATGTTTTCCGATAGTCAGGAGATATTGGACTTGAGGCCAAATAAGTGTTACTTTGACCTCAGCCAGCCCGCCAGTCGATCGACACCTTCGACGGGTCACCAGCGATCCCCCCCTCCGCCCTCCTGTCAAGTTGTGTCAACCTGTCGGACAGAAAGATGGCAATCAATTAGCCAATTGTGCAGATCGATCGAAGCGAAGGTTGCGGACCTGAAATGCTTTGTATTTATCTTTTACCGTGATTTCCCCCCCCCCCCCCTGTCTACATGACCTTTGCAGATTCGTAATTGGTGGCCAAAGAAGGGGCGGAGGTGTAAAGGTCAATAAAGGCGATGATGTATACAGCTTTCAGGGCTGGCCTTCATGAAGCAGCAGGACGAAATTGTACCTTCATCCCGCCGCGCGCACAGTGTCTACGAGTCGGGGCTGGTTGGCGTTCATGCGTGAGGAGTGCCCAGGGTGTGGTGTCAAGCGGACCCCGGCCCCTGTCGGGTCGTTTTGACGTGCACAGGCGGAGATCGAAGCTTCATTGCGGCGCGCAGCGTCTCCGAGGCAGGGCTGGTCGGCGTTCATGCGTGAGTTGGGGCCAGAGGATGGTGTCAAGCGGACCCCTGTCGGGTTCATTTTGACGTGCACAGGCAGATTCATCGCGGCGCGCAGTGTCTACGCGGCAGGGCTGGTTGGCGTTCATGCGTGAGTTGGGCCCAGAAGATGGTGTCAAGCGGACCCCTGTCGGGGTCATCTTAACGGGCACAGGCAGATTCATCGCGACGCGCAGTGTCTCCGAGTCAGGGCTGGTTGGCGTTCATGCGTGAGTTGGGGCCCGAGGATCGTGTCAAGCGGACCCCTGTCGGGGTCATTTTGACGTGCACAGGCAGAGATTGAAGCTTTATCGTGGTTGCCGTTCATGCGTGTCTACACGGCAGGGCTGGTTGGCGTTCATGCGTGCGAGTTGGGGGGCCAGAGGATCGTCTTAAGCGGACCCTCGCCTCGAAGGGGTCATTGTGACGTGCATGATCTTAGAAGACAAGAAGATGAGGAAATGATGTGGATAAGGAAATGATGTGTATAGTTGCGGAGAGGTGATGATTGACCTGTCGACAGAAGAAGATGACGTGCGTAGTTGTAGAAAGGCGATGACTGATCCTCCCTCAAATCTACTCTGCGGCTGTATTGAGTAAGGAGTTTTTCAAGCGGAAAAACTGTTGTATCATCCGGACTGTGTGTTTTCTTGAACGTCGTGCTTTTTTTTTTTTTCCAATTGCTTATTTTAATGATCTGCCAAGAGCCGTGTTGTACAATATCCATGCCACAGATATGCAAATGAGTTCTGCTCTCCCGACTCTCTTCCTTTCAATCGCCTCAAAGGTTGTGAGGAAGGATAAAACGACACAAGGACAATAATCGAGGCTTTGATAAATTCAGGGCAGATAAGCAGCAACTATGTACGTATATATGTGTGTGTGCGTGCGGGGAGAGAGAGAGAGAGAGAGAGGAGAGGAGGGAGGATAAAACAACATACGAAAAATAATCGAAACTCTGATAAATTCACAGCAGAAACGAAGCAACTATGTTCATATGTGTGCGTGCGTGCGATATATATATGCCTCGTTTGTTGTCCTCTTCTCTCTCTCTGCCTACGGTTTACCGGGCAGTTCTGTTTGTGACGATATATATATGTAGAGAGAGAGAGAGAACGTATTGGAACGTGATTTAAGACTCGTTTCGGTCGAAAAAATCCCACGTGTGTGAGAGCATTGACAGGAATACTTGTGTTTGTTTTTTGTCTTTTTTCCTTTTTTTCTTGAAGGGCGACGGCCTCGAGATATCATCATTGAGCTGGCCAGTTCCCGAGGTAATCCGGAATTCTGTTATTCTGTCATCTGATTGCATCTGGATCCAAAATCCAAACATGACTCTGTATTTCAACAGTTCATGGGTGTACCAAATGAGCTACAATAGGCCCGTTGGTGAACTTGTGTTTCTTCTTACGTTTTATTTGTTAAAATTCACACACTGTTTTTTTTTTCCATCTCCAATTTTCCCAATTTTCCCTCAATTTGACGGTCGTTTTCGGTTAAAATCGGTGCAATCCAATTATCTCATGGCCGCGGATTGTACCGGTAGGACCTCTTGTTCCGGGGGCAAGGTCCCACTTGGACGGATTAGGAGATTTCGGCCGTTGATCTCGGATATCTACGGTCTCGCTCTCTTAATTCGTGCAATGGAAGCTAGCCCCGGGTGAGTGGGCATGGTTCTACCTTGATCCACTGGTTGGTTGTGCTCTGCGATCCTGCATTCATCCAGCTCGCAAAGTGAAAACGTTTTTTCAAATGAAAAAGAAGAAATAGCAACAGAATAAGAGAAAATTGATCACACAGGGGTTGGGCTTGTCAGGGCATAGCAACAGAATAAGAGAAAATTGATCACACAGGGGTTGGGCTTGTCAGGGCAGGGGTCCTGTATTGGCCAATTCTGTCCGTAGACTCTGTGGCCCAGCGACTGCACCTAAGCTGGGTAATGAATGGTCCCAGTAATTATTTTTCGGGGGGGGGTTGAAAAGGAAAAAGAAACAGCAATAGAATAATTTGGCTAAGATCAAGTGTAGTATCTGTTCTGTTCTGATCAGTTTAATATCTGATCCTAAAAAAAAAAAAAAACTGCTCACATAGGTCCGAGGCTAAGTCCCTCTAGAGGGGGTTTAGTCTTTTCCTTTTCGAGCATTTGTCGACGTGGCCACAGTGCGGCCGTGAGTGGGATGTTCGGATCGAATGGCAGGAAGCCCTGGAAGCCCTGGAAGCACTGCGTACTCGGAACCAAGTCTAAACCTCCGCTACTGGGACTGCTAGCCCCCGGTCGAATTTTATTTATTTATTTATTTATTTTAAAAGGGGCAACGGTCTTGAGATATCATCATTGAAGCTGGCCGGCCGCAGGTAATTCAGAATGATGTTATTATGCACATCTGATTGTATCTGGATTCGAGCTTGGGTCTGTATTTCTTTTTTCTTTTCTTTTCTCTTTTTTTGGGGGGGGTCTGTATTTCAACAGTTCGTGGGTGTACCAACTGAACTAATGTGAGATGCAACGGCTGTTCATAGACGCGTTGACGTCCAGGTTAGGACATTTTTCGGACTCGGACCCAAGGCATACTTACGCTGGTGTACTTGTCCGACTGAGCGCGGTTAAATACATTCAGGGCGTGAGTACTCTCTTTTGGAGCAGCATGTCAGCTTGTGGGACCGTCTCCCGACCTTTGAGATTTGTTTTTTTTCTTTCTCTGTTCCTGAGATTGTACTTTGCCTACTACGCTCTGGACATGATTGCAGTCAGATTCGCCTGGGTCGTAATTGCAGTCAGATTCACATGGGTCAGGCCGTAATTGCAGTCAGATTGATTCTGGGAAGTACTAGTGTGAGATTGTATCTTCTCAGCTACATTTGAATTTACTCAGTTGGTTGAATGAGCATTCGCCAGTTTTTTTTCTTTCGTCGTTGCCGTTGCTGCCCTCTAGCGGACTGAATCCATCAACACATGGATTCATTCATGAGGTCTAATCCACGGCAACAGACAGAACTCCCAGCGATAGTATATGTGATCAGACGTGATCATCGAAATTTCGGCTGATAATGACCTACAGCATTATGGTATGTGTCTTTATGTGCAGAAAAGTGCCCTCTCGGAATTCGCTTTTCATTGGAAAGGGCACTATTCAAATTCAGGCCTTCTTTACATTATAAAAACAAGTCGACCCAGAGCGGCAAAGCCGCGCCCCAATGAATCTCCCGCTATAACATGGGAAGATGCAGCACCGTAACGTCTTAGAATTTATTTTCTGCATGTCGAGAGCGGCGGAGCGACCTCCCTCCCTCCCCCCTCTTTTCTCTCTCTYTCTCTCTCTCTCTCTCTCTCTCTCTCTCTCTCTCTCTCTCTCTCTCTCTCTCTCTCTCTGTGTGTGTGTGTGTGTGAGGCTCTCTCACACGCACGTGCTCCTTTCCTCCCCCCCCCTGCACTCCCGTCTTTCCCCGTGCACGACGCACCCTCATTTTCGCCGAACCCGACCGGAAAGATAGCATCGGTTCGCTGTGTACGGGGAAGAGGGGATCTCTCTCTCTCTCTCTCTCTCTCTCTCTCTCTCTCTCTCTCTCTCTCCCTGCGTTGTGCGTAACCATCCAGAGTTCCATGGCGAATTCTCTCTCCCCCGCCCCCCCCCTCTCTCTCTCTTTGTGTTGTGCCTGAAGAGGGGAACAGTTTCGCCGGTGCGGGGCCGCTCTGCACTTGTATTCGAACATGAGGCCCCATCCACGATGCGCGCCCCCCGCCCCCTTGAATCCTTAAAAAAAAAAGGCGCACCCCAACGCGCGCTGCCCAAAAAAAGTGCGCGGCCCTAAACCCAACGTGACTCCGCCGCAGCGCACCAGCCTCCAGACCCGCGTGGACGAAAAAAAAATATCTCTGCACTTTTTGCGGGTTTCCCTTTGGCCTGCGCCTTGCCCCCGACCATTTTCCCAACACAGGGAGCCCGGGCTCGCGGGAGCGTCGCGCGAGACCCGCTGTTCCCTTTTTATATATAATAATTAAAAAAATGTATATATATAATAATAGTATAATATGAGTCGGTGAAACTCCGACGAAACAGTTTGTCACAGCCCCTCGTTTGTTGTCCTCTTCTCCCTCTCTGCCTACGGTTTACCGGGCAGTTCTGTTTGTGACGATATACATATATATATATAGCCTCCTGATGAGTCGGTGAAACTCCGACGAAACAGTTTGTCACAGCCCCTCGTTTGTTGTCCTCTTCTCTCTCTCTGCCTACGGTTTACCGGGCAGTTCTGTTTGTGACGATATACATATATATATATAGCCTCCTGATGAGTCGGTGAAACTCCGACGAAACAGTTTGTCACAGCCCCTCGTTTGTTGTCCTCTTCTCTCTCTCTGCCTACGGTTTACCGGGCAGTTCTGTTTGTGACGATATATAGAAACTCCGACGAAACAGTTTGTCACAGCCCCTCGTTTGTTGTCCTCTTCTCTCTCTCTGCCTACGGTTTACCGGGCAGTTCTATTTGTGACGATATATATATATTGTCACATGATATCAGAGCGCCTAAGCGAAAAAAACAAAAAAACAAAAAAATCTTAAATTCGTTTTTAATCTTCTTCCTTACAACTCCCCCTGTTCAGAACCTCTTGCGTACAAGGCCGCCCACGTGGATGTAGGTTGAGCGGCGGCTGCCCCCACCCCCGTGTGTCATATCGACCCACTTGCACACAGCCAAAAGGCAAAGAGGCAAAGAAGAGAGGAAGGGAACAGCCAAATGAAACAAATAGAACAGAGGGAAACAAGACAGATCCCAGATGACAAGTCCCACATGCAAGCACCGYCTGCTCCGTCAAAGGCCAAACAACGGGACAAGACCACCCAGGACAAGACATAAAAAAGCGACGATCCACAGTGTGACAACCAAGAAAAAAAGAGAAGACAATCCCGGATAACGATTCCCACATACAGGCACCGCCCCGCCTCTCAAAGGGCCGAACAACGGGAAACAACCAACCAGGATGCCAAAAACCCGAATGGCTGGTCCCACATGAAAGCACAGCCATGCCCATATATATATATATATATATATTCCTCTCAATTTTGAACTGGCATCTGCCATGTCATGGAACATATCTTTTTTCCATCTCTCACTACCTACCTACCTACCACTATTCCTAAGGCTAACAGGGGACCCCTGCAGGCATAGCTATACACCCTACTTCGGTGAAGGGAGGTTACCTCTCCCGATGGAGGGAGGTCATTGCAATGCCGGAGTGGTTTAGGGTGCAGGCTTGGGGGCGCCAGCGCCAGCGGGGCCCCGGCCTAACACAAGGACCGAGCATTGGCAGAAACTGCACCTCCCTTTTCATCTTCTCCCACCCCCATCGAGCAACAGCAGTGTCTACTCTACAGCGAACATTCTCCCACACAACACACCCAACCCACTCACACTCGCACTTACACCCGTGTTGGCTGAAGACCCTACTAATACGGACCGGGCCGGGAGGAATCAGCTGACTTCTCAGTTGATTGGCACCAAGCCTACCGCAGGCGGCCGTGGGGATTGAACCAACGACCTGCTGAATGCGCCACTTGCGTGCCTAACCAATTGAGCTAGGCCGCTGCATGGCAGTGACTGATGTACATTGGGCCTCGCTCCGCTAATCACCACATCCACAGAAGACAAAAAATATGGCTGCGTATCTACTCATGTTTTAGCGGAAGATTCATTCTCATTTTGCACATTTGGTGGGT